GGTAATCTTTCGATCACTCGGCGGCGCGGCCCCGGCGGTCCCGCGCTGACGGCCCCGCCGCGCCCACGGACCGGGCGCGGGCACGGCGCGGCCGCAGCATGTCGGCCGTCGCCTACGTGGACTTCGTGGCGGCGCAGTGCCTGGTGTCTATCTCCAACCGCTCGGCCGGACCCCCCACCCCCGAGACGGCGGCGCGGCTGAAGGTGCCGGGGGAGGCGGAGACGGGCCGCGAGATGCGCGACCCGCGGGACGCCTGGAAGGACTACTGCGCCCTGCTGGCCATCGCCAAGAGCCTGCTGGAGCTGAACAAGTACCGCCCGCTGCCCGCGCCCTCGGTCTGCAGCGACAGCCTCGAGAGCCCCGACGAAGACGCGGGCTCCGACAGCGACGCGGCCGCTACCTCGCCGTGCTCCGGCCCCGCGCCCGCGCCGCCCTCCCGCCTGCGCGGCACCGCCGCCGCCGCCGCCCCCAAGGCGAAGCTGGCGGCCGAGAAGCGGCACAAGTGCCCATACAGCGGCTGCGGCAAGGTGTACGGCAAGTCCTCGCACCTGAAGGCGCACTACCGGGTGCACACAGGTCAGCGCCGCCGGGCGGGAGCCGCGTGTCCTCGGGTGAACCCGGCCAGCGCCGCGCCGCCCCGCGCCCCTCCTCCCGCTGCCCGCGCGCGCCCCCCCGCGCGCTGCCTTTCTCCACTCTTCTCCCTTCGCTCCTTTCACCGTTTTTCCACCGCTCCCGTCCCCCCTTTTTCGCCCCCTCCCCGGGCAGCGCCGCGGACCGGGACCGGGAACACGGATTGCGGGGTGGGGGAGGCGCGGCCGCTCCGGGCGGGGCTGCGGGGTTGCCTGCGGCAGCCGGGGAGCGGATTGGGGAGTGCGGGGAGGCAGCTGAGTGGGGAGGGTCCGCCCGGCACACGGCGCTGTCCTGGGGCGGGCGAGCGGGTGCGGCGCTTCCCGGGGCCGTGAGGGAGGAGGGCGTGGCGGAGCGGGACCCGGCGCGGGGAAGGAGCTGCTGCGGCGCTGCCTCCGGATCACGGTTGCGGGGATTTCTCTGCTTTTTTTCCTTTTTTTTTTTTTTTTTTTTTTTTTTCCCCTTTAATCCTTCAGTGCTAGCGGCCGAGCTCGGAATGACGTGTGTGAGCCGCTGTCGGGGTCACGGTGCAGAGCACCTGCCTAAAAACTGCCCCGAAATCAGGGGTTGAGCGCTGGATCGGGGAGGAGCGGCTCACAGTGACAAACGCTGCCCGCGCGTATTTCATGCGGTTCGCATATGCATAATAGACTGGCGCTTCTCTCTGCGCTGTGTCTGTTGGCAGCGACGGTAAGTGGCCAAGTACAACGCCCCGCTCCCGGCAGATCGCACCGCGGGCACTGCCCGAGTCCTGAGCGCCGGCACAGAGCTGCCCCAGCGGGGGGCGGTGCCGCCCCCTGCCCGACCCGCGGTCATCGGCATGGAGAGCCGAGCGCTCTTGCGCTCGGGGAACCGGAATGTAACCGAGCCCTGCTGCGGGAGCTTGGCTCACAGCGGCAGAGAAAAGGGATTGGCACCGTTTCTGCGTAGTGCCCAGTGCCCGGATACCCGCCCCGGTCTGGGAACCAACGCAGGCACGCACGGGGCGGCGTGCAGGGGATGACGTGCAGAGGGATGCGCGGTGCAGCCCCGCGGTGCTGCAGCGGGTGCGGTGCACGCAGCCTGTGCGGCGCGGACGAGAGGCAGCGCCCCGGGGCGGAGGGTTCGGTTCGGCCCCCGACTGCTGCGTGGGCAGCGCGCTGCAGGCTCCAGAGCACCGAGGTCCGGCGCCTCCCAGCGCGGACAGGTAATTGCTGCGGGTGGAAGCACGAGCGATGCCGCTGGTGCCAATTGTTTTTAATAGATGGCAGAACAATTCCATAGCAACAGTGGGATTCGATTGGACCTCCAGAGTTATTCATAGCAGCGTACTGCAGAGCATTAGTACTCCCTTCTCAGTACCATTTTCTTGCCCCCCCCCCCCCCTTTTTTTTTTTTTTTAATTATTATTAAATATTTTCTGTGCTGTTTCTGAGCCTCTTGAATCACTCCCATTCACCTTCCATCAGGCCACCAAATTAAATCATTAGATTGCTCTCTTGCTGCTTCATTGCCTTTACTTGAAGCAGTTATACAGCTGTGGGTAGAAGGTTCCTTGTCTTATAACTCCTGGTCTTACAAAATAATTCTGTTTACCTGTGAGCTTCTAGTAACAGCATCTGCCCTTATGTTGAACGGACACTCACTGGAGTGTAGAGTTGGGATCTAAAGCTCATGGGACCATCTCTTTGGTAAGCTGATGGGGAGTGCGAAACAAAGTGTCAATGAAGGCAGAAGATCAGAAGACAAGAGACTTGATGTTCCAAAGTTAGAATTCTGTATCTTATGAATACTGTTTTAATATTCCTTGTTCAGAGGTACCCCTTATTTCAGAAACCAAAAATACTTGTACCCATTTCCTTGGAGTTCAGCCCTATCAGCCTACGGTCCAGAGGACCCAGGTTGGCTGTTTATCAGAACCCATTGGCAGCACTGACCTTAGGAGTGCCATCTGCTAATAGCACTATACACCCTCTGCCTGCAGCACACTGTGCTTGGTAGGACGTGGTGGGGTAAGGTGAGGAGGGAGCCAGGCAGCACGAGCCCAGCCCTGACCTGCAGGGACAGTCCTTTTGTTTCTCACCAGGTCACTTGGTGCTTCTGGCATGTGATCAGACACTCCTTTACTCACCTTCACTCATTCATGCATGCAAACCTGCATGCGTGCAAAAGCCCGTGAATGTGAGGGCAAGCCTGCAGCTGAAGCTAAGCCATTGCCTTGCCTCTATCATCACTGCAAGTAGCTTGAAGTTGGTTGTTTGGGTTCTGATGGCATGAGCTCGGGTAGGAATTCTGTGCAGGCTACTCTTGGTAGCAGCAGCCCCAAGAGGCATGGGTGGCACTTTGTGTAGGAGAGCCGAGGTTGCATTGTCCCTGCAGCTCACAGCAAGAAGCTGCGTCAGGAAGGCAGGTGGAGGAGCAGGCCTACAAAGTGACCTTATCTCTTAGGCATCCCCTCCCTCCTGGGACAATGCTAGTTTGCACAGGATGTGCAAACGCAGCTAGAGTTTGGCTGTGGCGGGGGGGATTACAGGAGCATTGTCTCTACAAGATACTCTCTAGTATGGAGGTGACATGGCCAAGCCCTGCAGGATGCTCCCAGGGGGCCTTCCGAGCAGAGGAGAGATGTGAACAAGACCAGAGGTCAGGAGGCAATGAACAACTGCCAAGCAAGAAAATGAGCAATAGCAAATTCAAAGAGGGTTACCGTGAAAATGTAGACTCTTAAATAGGTTGGTTTGGAGGTTTGCTTGTGGCTGGTAATGTGTAGAGTTATTGTGAGCCTCAGAAATGAGGGGAGGGTGGGGTTGTCAGAGCAGGATGTGCAGGCCCCAGGATTTCCAAGGGAAGCAGGAAAGGCACGTGGGTGCACACACCGTCTGGTCAGAAGCACTGGGCAGGGAGCAAACAGCAAGGCAGTGAAAGGCAGGAGAGAAACTGCCTGGAGAAACTTAAATTAGGAGTATTTATTTGTTATGACAGTGTGAATCCAAGCTAGTCAAAGGGCATATGGCTACTGAGGGCAGGCCCTCGTGGTTAGGAAGGTGGGACAGAGGGGATACTGTGAAATTGGTCCTTGAGATACCTCTTGCAAGACGGATCAGAGTTTACTTGTCTGCGGAAGTATATCCCAATTGATGGGGAGTTCGCATTTAGATCAGATGCCCATGATGAAGAGCATAGAAACTCCAAAATTGTGGTTGTGTGAAAAGTCCACCCTCATCAACTGCCTTTTCATCCAGCCCTGTAATTGTTGAGACCACATCCAAGCCACATGAAGAGCTTTGTAGCAAGGCAGCTGATGGATCCTTGAGTTGTCCTTGCCCTGCGTCTAAGAGATGTTCAGCAGTTGGCTGTGGGCAGAGGCCATGGTTGGCATTGGGTGAAGGGAAGCTGAGGAGCATATCTGGTGGAAAGGGAGAAGAACACTGCAGCTGCTCAGTGCTGCAGTCTAGATATCATGTTGCCTTTCCAGCCCCCTATCAGTTTGGTTCTGACTGTGCTGCTTGTCGTTTGCATTCTAGATTACCGCTAGCTTGACAGACTGTACAGATGCTGATGTATTGACAATCCTCTGCTTGCCCAGAGCATTTTTAGGTATATCGTGGGAGCATAATCTGATATTTAGCATTTTAAGTCCTTCTTATCCAGCTCATGCAATGTCAAATTGCCAGTTCCTTTAGAAAAAGATGAGCAAGAAATTGAGCTATTAGGACATTTTTGACAAAATCAGACCTCCATGTGAAGCTCCGTTTCTCAAGAGTTAACAAAAATGTGTAAATTGCTAGAGTTCTGCTAGGCACGTTTCCAGGGCTCAGAGAAATATGACTGTACTGACTGGAAGAGCTGCCAGCTGAGTAAGGTAGGCACAAATTCTCAAGTGCTGTGTTTCCTGATTTTCACTTGTTTGGTTTTCTTTTGTGTTGTTTTTTGTTTTGTTTTTCTTTTCCTCTTTTAAAAAAACAAACGTTAAGCAACTGGATGTGTCACAGTGCAGTAGCACTCCAGAAATATTTTTTATTTAAAAAAAACAAACATGTTTAATGGAGTGCATGTGTAGGATAGAAGCAGTGAGCAGGCATCACCCACTCCTGTTTCCAGATGGCAATACTGAAAATTCAGCTCTGTTGAGTTCCTGCACTCTGTTCTACAACACTGATGACTGTGGGTAGGTGTCAGCTGCTTCTGTCAGCTATGTGGATCCACCTGGGAGTGAGCACTCCCCACCACGGTCTGCCATTCTGTTCTGCACTGTGCTGCCCTTCCTTGCCTCACTGATCTCCGAGGCCTGTGGCTGGAGGAGGTGAGTTAAGACTAACAGGCCAGATGGACAGCAAAGCAGTATGCTTCCGGTAACTTTTGTTTGTGGTGGTGTGGTACTTCGTCCATGTCAGGTAAGGGGGAATTGCCTGGGAACACTATCTTGCCATAATTTGAAGGGTCTGTTGAAATACTGGCTATTAAATTCACACTAGATTGCTGAAAGTTATCTTCCTAAATGCATGTAAAAGTGACACCAGTCCATCCAGTAAGGGATGGGCAGAAGTCATTAAGCACAGTCTGTGTGCACTGCTGGCTTCCAGTACTGAGATCATCTGCATGTGAGCAGTCTGAAAAGACAGCAGCTATGAGAGGCAAGCGAGCTTGGCTTGTGTCCTCTTGCCTGGGATGGGCCAGTTTGGCTATGGAAACTCTGATCCAGTTCTGCAAACAGCTGCAGCACTGGTCTTTTCAGGGCCAGGTCCTCTATTGGAGGCCAAAGAAAGGCCAGAGGACACGGGGAGAGCTGGGGAGTCCCAGTAGGTCAGCAGTTTGGTGCCTGGACTCCTGTGTGCTGGGAGGTACTCCTCCAGGACACCTGGCCACAAAACTTCCCGACACAAAATGTCTGTGCTGAACTGTTCCTTTCTGCAGCTGGAGGGTAGGGAAGCATGCTGAGATACCTCACATGGTGTGTCATGGAACAGTTC